ACTCCACGCTGTGCCACATCCTCACCCTGTACCGACGCACCACATGGCTGCATCAGGTTTGTGTGACGGATTAACTGGAATTACATTGGTTTAAATGAGCCTATCTTTGTAATGCACTTGTTGTGACAGCAGTGTTGCTCCAAAGATATTTGAATAAACACGGAATGGTGAATCGGTGAAATAGATTTCATTGTGAGATGTGTAGCGTATTGTAAAAATGGGTTTGATAGATCAGGTTTAGACTTAACTTGAATCTGATTAAACTATACACATGCAGAGTTGGTTTTTTTTTTTTTTTTTTATTTTTTAGACATACACAGTGTCTTTCAGTAACCAGACAGAGATGTAAAGACTTAAGCTAGGTTTGCTTGAAAAAAAAAAGAAAAAGAAATCACATTTAAGAAAATGCTTCAAGTAGAAAAACTAGTTTCCATTAAAGGTTAATGCGGTCAGTCTGGCATGTAATTAATTACGAACGTTCATCTCAGGCTCTGCGGGAGGGCACGCGGGTTCAGAGTGTGGAGCAGATACGGGAGGTGGCGTCTGGTGCAGCGAGGATCAGAGGAGAGACGTTGGGACTAATAGGACTAGGTAGGTTACACTTCCTGTTGATGTTATTGAATGGAAAGTACAAAATATATTTTTTGATTTATGTGTGTGTGTGTGTGTGTGTGGGTGGGTGGGGTGATTTAGAAGAACAGTACGACTTTCTTATCGGGTTCCTGCCGAGCAAAAAATTTAATCAAGCTTCTTTCCCCCTTTTCTTTGACATTTTAATTTTGAGAAGTTTCCACCTGAGCTCAGCTAAACTGATCTCTGGGAGCGTGAGTGCTAATAAACTATAAGCAGATTAGACCAAATGAGGAATGCAGTTCTTTACAGTCCAATAATTTCCAACAGTTTCAAAAGTGATGTTGTGCAGGGGTTTAAAGGTGTATTTTGCTGTTTGAGTTGAATGTGTAATGATGTGATTCCAGGTCGAGTGGGGCAGGCTGTAGCTCTGCGGGCTAAAGCTTTTGGCTTCAATGTCATTTTCTATGACCCCTATTTGGCTGATGGAGTAGAACGATCCCTTGGACTACAGAGGGTCACCACACTACAGGTGAACACACGCTCTCTCTCACACACACAGAAATGGTGCTGTGTCGAGAGTGCAAGCGAGCAAGCAAGACGGAACAAAAACATGGTTATTAAATGGAATCATCAGATCTGTGGTGATTTGTAATTCAGAATGGCAGTTGACATGATACGACACCACTGCACCCACGAGGCAGGATTATTGGTGTGAACAGACAACAGGAATTTCACAGTGCGTCTTTGCCTTTCTGTTTTTCCAGGACCTGCTTTTCCACTCTGACTGTGTTTCTCTGCACTGCAGCCTGAACGAGCACAACCACCACCTTATCAACGACTTCACCATCAAACAGGTGGAGGAACAGACACAACTCTGAGTACATACAGTACAGGACACCTGGGGTGGACTGAAATGACAATACATTGGTTAACATAACCAGGGCCAACTTGCGCTTTTAATGTTCCTAAGCATAGTTTAATATTTCATTTGATAGCCACTACGAATCAAGAGGAGTTACACACAATAATTTACAAAACAATAGAATTAGTTTCCAAAAAATACAAAAAAAAACAAACAAACAAAAAAAAAACCCCACAAGGTTTATCTAGGGCAGTGGTTCTCAACCTTTTCTACTCTGTACCACCTGAGAAAACACTGAGCTCTCTGAGTACCACCATGATGACCAACATTAGAACATAGCAGCATAGGCCTTCCCTGTTAGCTTCTACCACAGGAGAGATGTTTAGAAATGTTTAGAAAGATGTTGATGTTCAAATGTTGTATTAATTGTGCATGGCATGTTTCAGATTTATTCAATTGAAAATGGACATGTGAAAATTTGAATTTTCCCTGTGTACCACTAGAGAGTGCTCGCGTACCACTAGTGATACTAGTACCACAGTTTGAGAACCACTGATGTAAGGGATAGCTTAAGATTTGATAACAAAAACACTCCAAACAAACCAATGCTGCCCACTGAAAAAAAAAAAAACAACCAATAAAGTAACTAAAAAAACCCAGAAAATAACCAAAAGTCTGACATCTCTCTGAAAGTGAGTAATACAACTGACAGTTGTTGTAAAACTAATGCTGGACGAAAAACCAAATTTTCCTAATGACCTTCTGGGCCCCATTAAATCCGTCCAAGTTCCGTGACTGCCCCCAGCAGGGACTATGTTTATGACTGACATACACAAACATGGTTTATTTACTCTGGCATCAAATATTACAACTAATGAGTTTAAAATATTCATGTGGATACACAGTGATGATCACTGTCTGGGCGAAGAACGATGGGGTTTCTGATGATTCTGGTCCATCAGCATTACAGTTGTCCTTTTCATGGACACAGTGACATCACTGAAGGACAGTGGTTGGTGATGGACTTTTTAAACTTTTGAGGCTGATTTAGTTGGATTGGAAGATCAACTTAGGATAACAAAAAACCCTAAGGCCTGATGCTGTGCTAATGCAGTTTGTTGCAGACTGAGATAAGATTTTCTAATAGATAAAAGTGACTCATTGTGACTAACTGTGTGTGTGTGTGTTGAAGATGCGTCAGGGGGCGTTCCTAGTAAACACAGCCAGAGGGGGATTGGTGGACGAGAAAGCTCTGGCTCAGGCTCTTAAGGAGGGCAGGATACGTGGAGCTGCTCTCGATGTTCATGAGACGGAACCCTTCAGGTACTGAACTAAATGTTTACCTAAGCGAAGCCCATGTCCGAGAAATAACTGTGAGATGAAGACAATGCTTCATTCGCCAAGGCACAGGCTTTCTATTTTTTTTTGCTTTTAGGATAGTTATGTGCTAAAGAAAGAAAAGAAAACTTTTCCCATAGATGTCAAATGTATGGGACCATAACGTTTAACGTTAAAAGCTGTGAGCAACTTTGTTAACGGGTAACATGACACAGTGACTGGAAATATTCAGAGATGTCTACAGCAGCTGTAAATCACAAATTACTTGTTTGTTTGGTCAGTTTCAGCCAAGGGCCACTGAAAGACGCCCCCAATCTGATCTGCACCCCACACGCTGCCTGGTACAGTGAACAGGCTTCCATGGAAATGAGGGAGGAGGCAGCCAGAGAGATCAGAAGAGCTATCACAGGTGACACATGGATTAGTTGATTAACCCCAGAGTTGATGGACAGATAGACAGATGGACAGACAGATAGATAGATTGATAGACAGATAGACAGACAGATAAATAGATAGTGTAATGATATGTATAAAGGGTAAAATAGTGCAGGCTGTTACACTGAATCACCCCCCTGTGTATGAACAACCCTCATGAACCTGTGCCTAATTCTCTCTTCGTAGGTCGTATTCCAGACAGTCTGAAGAACTGTGTAAATAAAGAGTTCCTCAGTCAGAACAACCACTGGGCAGGAGTTGACCCAGCAACTGTCCACCCCGAGCTTAATGGGGCTTATAGGTAAGAAACATGTTTTAGTCGGAGCTGTTAAACGCCATTTCTCCAAATGTTTGCCATAATTAAAATGATAGGAATTAATGTTCTCCTAAATCTTCTTCTTTTATGGGCTACAGATGATTTTAAAGGCTATAGCCGTTTATTTATAGTCCACTATGTATCTGGACCAAGAATGTCTCTGGATTCATCAAATTGGTTATCCAGGTGTATTCAGCCAGAGAAAGTCAATGCTGCTGTGACAAAATAGTTTTCCTGACTGGAGCTTGTCAGAACTGTCATGTTGTCAGAACTAGAGTGTCAGAATAAAGGCACCGCCTGCATCTCCCCTACATCTAAGTTTGTTTGTATCTGCCAATCAGTCAGTGGTGTCATCTTTTGGTATCCTGCAGCACAGGTTTGAGGCCTGCTTCTGGCACTTTTCTTATTCACAATCTGCTTAAGCACAGCTCATATAAGGAACAATACAGTTTGTCAAGTAAGCAACTGACACACACACACAAACACACACACACCTGTTTCTGAAAGTAATGCCCAGCAGTGATTGACCCTCACACTCAATCTCTTCCTCTTCCCTTCGCTCACTTGCAGGTATCCTCCCGGCGTCGTAAGCTTACCAGCCGGCGGGCTGCCGCCTCCAGTTGAAGGCATCGTGCCCAGTGCGGTGCCCATGTCGCACACACTCCCGCCTGCTATCACACATCCTCCACATGCCCCATCTCCGGGACAAAACACTGTCAAACCACAAGAGGGTGACAGAGATCAGCATCCAAACGACCAACTGTAGCCACACACTTTCACATTCACACACACGCACACACACAGGAGTACACACATAGAGCCCGTCCCTGTTTGTCTGGAGGAGGTCAGCTGGTGACGAAGCAGTAAATTCCCATGTGTCAAGATGATGATTATGAGATGTGCAAAGTGTCGGAGTAAAAGGTTTGAGGTCCTTTAACAATCCATTCCCAACTTTGGAGCAGATATTTCCCAGCAGCATCCTGAAGATGATGATGATGATGATGATGATGATGATGGCAGAGAAGAAGAGGAGTGGATAGCTGTTTAATTTAGCACAAGCACAAGACAGTTGTCCAGCCACGACGTACGACGCGAGACTACAAGGCTGTGTTCATACTTGTCACGTTTATTTAAATCTGATTTCATTTGTAAATATTTCCGCTTAAATGTAAAGAAGCAGTAGGTTAACAAGATCTCCTAAAAATGTGGGATTCATTCCACTTCCAAATAGATTTCGTTTGCTTCTGATGAAACACAGTGTAACAAAATACATATGAAGATATCACTATTCAACCATAAATGAATTTCCAAGTAGTAAATTCAAAATGTAGGCAAACAAAACAGAGGCATGCCAAGTGGAAATTTGAAAAACAAATCTTTTCCATATGACTTCTTTGTTCCAGTGAAGAAAATCTGGACTAGTACAGTAGGCTATTTTTTTGTTGTTGAGGGAAACACATTTAGTAAAAGGAATTTTCCACATAAAAAAAAACAAACGACAAGTGTGGACACAACCTAAAAGTCTTACGCAGATCATAAATAAAAAATTTGGAAATGATAAAAATAACTTCTGCCATCTTAGACTGTAGCGTGTCTTAAGTAAGCACCTTTCATGTCTTTGTCCTTTATCTGTGTCTTTTCTTTAGTTTGATGTCTATGCGAGTGGTAGATACTGACTTGAATGTAACCTGTCTATCTACAGTTTTCAGACTTGCGGCAAAGAAGATACTATTGTTTGTTATTCCTGTTGATCAAAAAAAAAAAAAAAGAAGAAGAAAGAAACGACTTATCTGACCTCTTCTGTGTAGCCTAACCACAGACCATACACGAATGGACAAAGCAATCTGGTTGCATAGTGAGGCCATGGATAGACTTAAAGGTTTTGAAAGCAACATCATAAAACTGGAGGTGTACGGCACACTGCAGCTGCTTAACTCCTTGATTACAACAAAGCACCAACATGCTCTCTTCCACCTACTTTACTTTTAAGTTTTTAAAACTGACAATAACCCAACATTTCCAAAAAATACAACAGAGTTAAATGTACATTTCATTAAGAAGCCTCTATTTTGACGGCATATTTGATTGACAACAAACTCTCATCTTATGTCTTTAAGGTCTACTGATAAAGATCAACTTCCTGTTGCAACCACGTAGCTATGTTCACTTCATATTCACGTTCTATGTTGTAGCCAAACTGGTTTGAGAAACAACCTTGTTTTTACTTTTTATGTGCCCCTAAAATTACAAGCCCCCTCCCTAGAAAAAGAGGCAGCTTTTTGCACACCTTCTCAGGAAATTGAGTTTCCGCTGTTTGGAATGTTTTATTTTCATCTTTGTTCATTTTATGTCACTCAGTGAGTTTGTTTTGTACCTGCTTGCCTTTGTTATTTTCCTACACATTAGAATAAGAATAGCAGCAAAAGCTAAAGCCAATCTGATCTTTGCTTTTGTTTATGTTAAAGGGGCATGTGATTTTGCTCTTGGTCTTACATTGGAAACAAACAGGAAAAAAAATGAAAAAAAAAACTCCTACACTGAAAGTGCAGTAGGAGGAAAAGGCTGCAGGCTGGTGGCAAAATGGTATTCTAGGACAGAGCGACTTTTTTCCACAATCACACTTTGTTGTTGCTAAAAAAAAATAGTTCATCCCAATGGCTCCTGTCTAACAGATTAGATCTAGATGTTCTAGATCTGCTTTTCTTGGTCTTCTTCCTGTGCAATGATCCAGTACTTCTTAAAGTTGCTCCAAGTGCAACCTCGTTTTCGGAAAAGTGACATCCCTATTTAGGTACATTAAAAATATCGCTGACAACTGAAACAGTTGTGTAAGAATTTTGTATTTTCAAGGTTATTGATTTACTGAGAAGGCTTGCCGTTTTAAACACAACATGTTTGGGCAAATGAAAAAAAAAAACAACATGGGTGAAAATATACAGAATAAGAATAGCATGTCAGAATACCATGGACAGCTCCAGTAGTATGCCTTTAACATTTCACATTGGCCCCTTCCCTGAGTATACCGTTTGGCCACCCTCCGCGGCCTCTGTCTATGTGTACATATGATGTTCTGCCTGCCTGTGTCAATGTGACTTGGTTGTATCTGTGTCTTAAAAAAAAAGCAGCACTGGGAGGAGGGGTGGTGGCTAGCACTCTCCATATGACGTCATCACAAATACTGCCATCGAAATGCACATTAATGAAGATAACAAACAGAAACGAGAACAAAAACAACTATTTACTGGTTACATTCCCGCACTGTACCATAAAAAAAAACACTCTTGGTTATAATATTTATTACCTGTTGCAGCTTGTGCGTTGTCGGTGTTAGCTGACTAACTTACATTACACCTTGACTTAACGACAACTGTGTAGGTCAGCTACAACTGTGTAGGTCAGCTATAAGATGGTGCTGTCTCAACCCCCTTCTGCCAGCAGCTGAGTGGTAAAACAGTTCACTGTTCACTACCTATTTGTTTTCATGGTGAGGTAGAAAGTGTAGCAATCAGGGATGATAATTTCACAAGCCCAAATAAAGCCGGTGTAGATTGAACTCAAACTAGATGCATGAAATGGTCCTTTAGTACGTAGTAGTCACAGCCCGTGATATTTGAAGTGCATTTCTGATATTTAGCAAGAGCTGGGGTCAGTAACTATATTCAGGATGCTAAAACATATTCCGCAATTAGGTAGAAACCTGAACTATTCCTTTAATGTTTTCTGACTGATGGAGCAGTAACTTCGTAGTTTCACTAACTACTACAAAACGTTGTTTTATTCTCTTTCCTGGGTGTTAGAATAATAATATTGATAATAATAATAATAATAAAAACAAAGTTTCTTCAGTGTTTTGGTGAAATTTCATCCCTGATAGTGACATACAGTCAACTGCTGCCTACCTTGGTTCCTTTTATGGTAAAGTAGTAGGCGTAGCAATATATACAGTATACATATTCTATATTCTACGGTAAATATCATTATTTTTGGTCAAAACCGACAACCTGACAAAGATATGTTTGTGACTGTATGCATTTGTATGAATTATTTTAAAAGGAAATAAACTGTGGAAAGGTGAAAATCTGTCTCGTCCTATTCTGGTGAAAACATGGGAGCGAAGCTTACTAAAATAAATAAAAACGAAAAAAAAAAAAAGTAGGTGAAGCGAGTCAACCTTTCTTACGCCGCTGCTGACTTAACAATTTGTTAGCCTAACAGTGCTTAAAGCATTGGTCATCATGAAACTAGTGTTACGCTGTTAAATGGTGAGGCTTTTAGCAAGTGCATGTTACCTTTTACCTCCGCTAGGTGTCAGTAGAATCCCTGCTGCACTAATCTCGTATTGACAGACAACCCGGGTTTCTGTACCAAAAGTGATGCTCTGATCCTTTTTCAGTTTCTTTCTTAGTAAAATAAAAATTCATACGTCAGTTTCTTCCACATACACATAAAGAGCTGCGGTATCTGAACAGTTCAGTGGCTGTCAACACATCTCGCAACAGCCTGACATATTTACCAAACTAATAAAACATTCGGTGTGAACCAACCAGACTTCATCCAATAAATACAACATGCATGATAGATTTATGGGCAGTGAAAATAATTTATAATTCATGTGCTGTATTCCAGAATCTGTTTTTGAGTGACATGTAGAGATGGGTATTCAAAAGAAAGGATATGAAAGACCCAATGTGATTCTAATGAAATACAGAGTGCTTCGTGCTGGATATCTTCTTGTGTAATTAATGATGGAAAATATTGGGTCATGCTACACAGACATTTGCCAGTAATCAAGTTTAGATTATATGAATCATACTGTGGTAATCCAAAATACAAAAAGACAATTATTTAGCAAAAACATGAAGTATTACCAATATAAAAAGAGACAGCACACGTAGTTGGTGTACTTTTCAATTCTTTGTTTGCACTATTATATAAATATACAGCATACCAATATGCGGTACTAGTAGATGGCACGTTTTATATACCATATAAACACTGTGAAGGATGTGCAGTCAGAGGGCCAGGTGGGTTCAGGCTAGGGAACCATAATGGTTTCAGATTAGATTCTGATCTGTCATAAATGTAGCACTCTGCACGTAGGTAAGGTTTGAACACAAACTCAGAAAGATAGGCAAACGGGTGGACAACAATATTGAGTGCAATTTTTGACAGATGGGTAAAAGAAAAAATATTAGGGTGGTTTAATAGATATAAATATTAGTGATTTTAATCACAGTCTTTGTTATGAAGTAGTCGTCTGGCCAACAAACTTGTAGTTTGCATTTCACATAAACATAAATATCAGATCTCAAATCTTTTAAAACCAACTTTTGTTTGACTTAAATCGCTGGATGTGGAAGGACATCCATTACATCACTCTTCTTTTTTTTCTTTCTTCATCTGTTTTGCTCCCTTCATAACCCCAAATCACTCCAGTGCACTCTTTGTCCCTTCCCTCTGGTTCATCCATTCAGGGTTACAGCCATTGGAACACGCTCTCCAGCAGCTGGAAAGTCAGAATAGTTTAATCTAAATTTCAGGAAGTGGGACAGGAACCAGATGCAGTAAGTGGGATAACAGGTAGAGGGCACGTTTTACACAAAAACCTCTGCAGGGGCAATTTGCAAAACTTTCCCTGAATTTACCATCACCGCCATCTTCAGACAACGTTAGAATCAGTCACATCTTCCATTGTGAATGCATCCATTGTAAAAACCGAGCTGAAGATTTAGGAGATGCTGGCTTGTTGGAAGAGGACGATTTGAGGAGTAGGTGAATGACTAATGCTTTCCTCTTCTTCAGGAAATACCTCGAAGCTGTTTCTGGGCAGGGCGCTTTAAAATAATCCATGTTAAGGCATCGCACTGTTTTACAGGGTTCAAATTGAAGACTGAAGCTTTGTTTTTGTTAATCTTTTCGTGCTTAGACACAAGACCGGAGCACGGAATAAACAAAAAACAGAGATGGTGGAATTGCTAAAGCTATCCTAAAAACACATTTTTTTTCCATTGTACCACAAAGATTATTGCCATAAATACTCATCCATGATGGATGGTTCATTAAACATAAAAACACCCCCCCCCCCAAAAAAAAAAAACGATTTAAGCCAACAAGATGTAGTAGAAGAAATGCTAAAAGTTATTCTTTTGGAAAATATTCCGTTCATTGCTGCAGCCAATAGCTGCCTTTTCTGCCACATTTCGTGACCTGGTACTTGTGTTGGGGATAATGGTAAAGTATATGCTGTCAAGGCGAAACAGGCAGAGGAGCTGAAGGAGTGGCGAGGACATTTAACATCAGTCAGTGGTGTCTGCATAGTTTAATGATCTCAGTCACAGACACAGAATCCTCATCCAAGTCCTAAATCTGCGTCTTAGATCGCGACCCTATCCACATGCTGTTTATAGTGCAAGTAAATCAAGACAAGCTCGAAGAACCAATAGTATAATTTAATGCGTTAGGACTGCACTAGAACTGAGTAGTCAAGCTGATGACTCCAGAAAATACACCGGGAGTCTGAGCGTTTATTATGTCTCTCAGACGCAGCAGGATGACATGTGTGACATGTTCATTTCATGTCGTGTCTGAACTGAACACTCTTCCTGTTGAAAGCAGCGTACGTAGCAGAGAAAGACGTGTGCACCATGCAGGTTACAAGACGATGATGGACACGGAGGAAACGGGTGGATTTAGGTTCCTCTCTGCACCTTCCTGTCCTGTCCCTCTGCACCTCTCCCCTTACCTCCCTGCTCTCTGTGGTTTCTTCCTCTCCTCTCTGTCGTTAACTCTATTTTTCTGCTGTCATCTTTCTGCTCTCCCATCCCCTCAGTTAAACACCGTCTAAATAAACTACTACAATATACAAATGTCTAGCAGGACACATCGGCTGACCTAACGCAGAGAAAAATGAGGCACCCTGCTGAGATGAGGAATTTCCATTAGCATGTGTTTTACTGGTAGGTTCCATTTTTCCTGTTTCGTAGAGTACCTTCAACCCAGCCAAAAAAAATGTTAACAACACCAGACACGTGCTTGTAAATGTCAGCTGCTGCCTTAAAGGTGCTACCTCCATTCACTGCATTGGCGGGTCACCAGTGTTTTGCTGCTGAAGAGCAGAAATGTGCATTTATAATTTGTCTGCATGCAATCTTTTTTAAGTAAGTCACTTACGTCAAAACAACGACAGAGTGAACCCTCTTGAAATCAAACTGAAGTAGTTTCACATGGTCCATATATAGACTGTATATATATATGTGTGTGTGTGAAAAATATATACGTATATATATATGTTTATAATGTTAAGTTTACATTTAGGGAAGATATATATGATATATACACTGGTGAAGGATGTGCAGTCAGAGGGACAGATGGGTTCAGGTGAGGGAATCAGTGTTTTTTAGATAAGACTCTGATCTGTCATAAATGTAGCACTCTGCACGTATGTTATCCTAAAGTTGAAAATTTTTATATTTATATTATACAACGAAATTTTATAATATAATTTTCTATATTTTTTCCCTAGCTGAAGTAGAGGTGGATTAGAATGTTTAAATCTGCTGACTTGGTTTTATAAGACCCTTTCGAAGTTGGAAGAGATTATACAATAGTTTATATGACTTTTTATACAAGAAAACCACGAGAAATTGAATGCCATGGTGATGATTATTAGACAGACAGCTAAAGATACAAACAGAAAGATGAGAAGAAAGACAGAGTGAAAGGTTGGAGGGTTGATGAGGTGGCAGAGGCCTGTCTAATAAAATATGGCGTGGTCTGCGTAAACATAAAACGTTTTTTGCTCAATGTGAGTCCTGGTCACGTTTTCACATAATTGTGTATATTTTCTGTTTATGCGTCTTCCCTACAGTAAGTAGGTGGTGACCCACTTTTACCACGTTCCTGGGGTCTGCAGTCCCTTTTCCTGCCTAAAGGTGTGTTGAGTGGGAAGGAGTTGACACATGACAGATGCCATGGCACTCATATGAAAACACGCACAAAACCCTGCTAATGGTAGAAGTAGCAGGTCGATTTATGAGTCCAAACTAAAAGTGTAATCAATTGTGGTTTCTTAGCCTTAGCCTATGCTGTAGCTGGATGGTTTAAAGACATTTTTCATTCTCATTTGAGGTTCCCCTCAAAACAAGAGTCTGTTTTTGTAGTCTACCCTCATGTTCCCTGAATAAAACCATGCTTAACTTGATCCCAAGGATCATCAGGCCATCTGCAGAAGCACCCACTGTGATTTCAACTAATGGAGAGTAGAGTTCTTCTAGGAATCGAATATAAATTCATTTCACATGTCAGATTGATAACAGCCTGTTTTCCAAATGTGGATCCAGCAAGCTGTTTCAAAGAGGATTCCGTCACTTGACACAAAGGCCAAGGGAGATGATTTTACATATAAGATGCATAGAGATATATAAACCAGACAGACAGGCGTATAGCCAGGATAACTGGTAGCGCTCCAGTAATGGTAGAGATGCAGGATTAGACACTGATTGTGGGTCCAAGTTTTGTGCCAGAATACACATTTTTAAAGGTGGTCCATTTGGAGCCCGTAACCAGACTAGTGCTTTGAATTTTACCATAAGGTGTTGCACTTGGCCCAGTCTTCGTTCTTGATTTATTTCCTTAGCGATTCCAATGATCCTTGTCTGACATATTATACTTATTTGTGTGTCTTTCGGTTTTGTCCTCTCTGCTTGTTACAGCACACCAAGTGTTTACTCTTCAAACTGACAGTAAATGTGGTGGTAATATTTGGTTCTTAGACCGTAGGTCTCATGTGAACGATTTTGCACATGAACAATAATTCACTTTAGGTTTCCAGGGAACATTTTAAAAGCCAGGTGTCCAATTACTTTTGAACCCCCGGGCACTCTGTTATAAAAATGTTAAATTTTTACACGCACTTCTTTCTAAGCTGACACAACAGTATTCAAGTCAAAACAGGGACCTTGATGATATTAATTCATATTTGTAATTAATGCCTCCAAACTGCTGACAATGTTGACCTACTTCAAGAAACTACACCTGTGGTCAACAAGACACTGAACTGAGACAGGAAAACAAAACTCC